AACACTGATATTAACCTACATCCAAAAATAAGGTCCGAGCATCGCATTTTCACATAAACAGCTTTTCCAGAGTTTACAATTGCTACATTAAGTGGCTAAATATGAGTGTATAAAGCTCTGACGTCACCATTTCACAAACATAATGTATTTTTGTAAGTATGCCGCTGACGACTAGGATGCTCAGCAACACCGAATAACATCAGCTGTAGGGCTGCCGCAACATTAATTTATCAATAAAAGCTCCGAGTAAAAATAATAATCAGACTCTTTACGAGAATTAACCTGTGTTGGATTTATATGGACACGCAATTTGTTTTTGTAATAGTACATGTTTTCACTTAACCAAGTCATTCTCTCTTATACAAATAATACAGCTTTGCAAATAAATAAGTCTCTACATCTTTACAGATATATTGAATGAAATAGAAGAGATTCACTAAGAATCTTTTTTTTTATAAACTTTTAATTTTATATTTATTTCTGATTAGTCAAACATCGCTTTCCTTTACCAATAAAAAAAAACCCTTTTCCAATACAACGAGATTGATATTTACGCTTTCTCAGTATCAAAGTTATAACTTTTTTTTTTTTCTAATGCGAAATCGCCAGTGGGAACCCTATATCCGATTGAATCCATGCCAGGCGCCGACCTACCAAAATAATTTTCGTTCTTATCTCTATGCACTTGCTACTGGATCGTCATATATGTGGACCATGCACGTCCTATGCTACATTATTTTGTCCACAGTGTAGAAGACATTTGTATATCGATCGGTTAACTTCATTAGTTTAAGAATACAATGCATAACGATGTATAAAAACCACATTATACAATACGTCGAACAATGCATTTAAAATGTATTGTGACTAACATTTTTATGTAGAGTGTTCTCAGCTATTTTAAACATCAATTGCGGAAATTTCTTAGTGCTTCGAGAAATGACTTACTTCTATTCGCAGTTCAGAAGAAAAACAATAAATTCACTGTTGCGGTTTCCATCAGTGCTAAAAGTTGTTTGGAGAAGGTATAAAACTTTTGCAGATCATCGAGTGAAAATACCGAGAGAAATTAATGTTGCAAATATTTTGCTGCCATTTTCTCTTCATTTCCTTTACAACCCAGTTTTATGGTTATAAATAGGAGCTTTGTTAGATAATCAATTTTATCTCGAAGATGTTTTGGTGAATCTTGCACAGACAGGTAAAGAAAGTTAGATGTAATTAAATTAAAATATTACCTTTGTGTGAAATTCAATCAGTTCGCACGCTTTGTTACACAAAGGTAAGAAAAGTTAACTTTGCATCTAAGACATAATATTAACTAATATGAGTGTTCGGCCATTACTGTTAGCAATAATGCGTGGACAATTATTGAGTCTCACCTTTTACTAAATTTCTCCACCGAAGTAGAATTTCAAACGAGAAGACATCAAAACATATTTATTTAATCTGTGTGTGTTTATACCAACACTCAATTACATAAAAGCCCTTATGGTCGATAAAATTTAAGCATAATTGTGAATCGTAAGAGAAAAACTAGTCGCTTAATAGCAATTATTCAGACTAATGAGCAAAGTTTTAATTGTGTTCGGTGATTGTCTGAACATTGTGCCCTCAATGTAACATATTTATTAATAAAGACTTTACCGAAGGTTCGTTATTGAACTTACTGACTAAATTGTCTTGTTATAGGTGCCAATACTTAGCTAACTACGAAGCTGAAAGAAATTATTCGCCAGTATCCGTATAATCCAATCTCACGCTTAAAATACTAAAAAAATAGATTTAATTTTTTGAAGTAGTTGCCACTTCGAAAACGCATTTAATTCTGTACTCGTAAGTTGATCTATTTCTGATTTTCATCTTAGACATATGAGCATACTGAATAAGTAATAAAACTTTCGAATTTCGAAATAAAAATACCCGACGTAGTGTAACAGACTTCGGATGTAGCTTAATCCTAAAATACCCGGTTTGTCGTCTCTTATCCACTTTATGGTTTAAAATTGGATTTGTAGTCGACTGTACTTCGTGCAGTTTGTAAAACCACTTTTCTACTCGCGATCCAAGATTGCTTACCGTGCTGCGAGTTTCTTTGAATTACTTTCTCTGTGGTTGTAAAGTGGTTATAAGAAAGGTGGATTTTCTCGAATTAAACTGAAATTTTAACATTCAAGTGCTTTTAAGAGAATACTAGATAGATATAGATGATAGATTTGGCCTTTTAAAATGGTGAATGTTAGGTGGACAAAAATTTAAAATCGGAGTCTAAATACAGTTTTCGTTATTTTTGTCAAAAGTGAAAAATTTATTTTGTCAAAAGATCCTTTTTCCGTACATGAGACACAGGGCGCACAATTCTTTGTGTCTTTCACTGATCAATTTTCTAGGCCCTGTGCGATTAAATAATAGGCTAACATCTCGGAAACGAATAGAATTAAACCCATCTTTCAGGTATTAAACTCGAAGGAAACACATGATAAAATTACTCACTAATTACTAAAAGGCGAGTGAAACGGACACGAAATAGTTCATGTAGTAGTATCATGGGAAATTAGTCTTCTAATGTCTTATTTATCCGTTATTGTGGATATAGTTACAGAATAAACGTCTACGCTTTAACTTCAATATTATTTTATTTTACAATTCACTTTTAAAATCTGACTTACGAAACCCTAACAGCGCAAATATATAACGCAATTTATTATAATAAATAAAAAATTTTATTGTTATTTTAAAGCTTCGATTTTATTGCGACCACATATTTAAAAACGAAATACATTTAAGTACTAAGTAAGAACTTAGTCAACTAGAAACACGATTAAACTAATGTTGTCTCCTAAAGGAGCATCGTGACTCTAAACAATATAATTAAGTAGCAATTATTGCATGGTTAGACTTTTGCTTTCAAAAATGAGCAGGCGTTTCGTGTTGTCTGGAAAGTTCTATTCTGATAAAACTGCGCTTTATTTTCCACTTCAAACTCGCCAAACATTATAAGAATTCTGCAAAATATATACCTCGAGGTAAAACTTAATTACAATTGTTCTTTTATCTTATTAAAAAGCTAAGAAGGCTAGAATTTATTTACGCTTGTGCTTTGGATTTGTTCGTTCTTTAAAACTAATTTCTTGACAGTGTGCATTTTATTCAAATAGCATAATATACCGCTCTCAATTTCCATTAATTTTAACTACAACGTTTCGGATGCCCGGCAGCCGTGGTCGAAACTTGACTAATCTATATATTTCGCGATTTTTGTTTTATTAAATATGTATCAACTGATTTGAAAATTGAAAAAAAAATGAAAACAAATTCGACTGGGGCAGGGCTTGAACCGGCATCGTCAGCTTTCCGTGCTGTTGCGGAACGCTGACGTTGCCGGTTCAAGTCCTGCCCGAGTCGAAAATGTTTTAATTTATTTTCGATTTTTAAATTATATAGTGCCTTCATGTACAATAACATGTGAAAAAAAATAAAGTTTTCAAATGTATCAAGTGTATTACTACAAACAATACTCACTAAGACTTAAAAAATAATTTAAGCAGGAAAAGACACATTGTCTAATCAAATGATAGACACAGAAAAATACCTGCCACATGCAACAAATGCATATAAGTCTGTTAAATAGCCATGTAATAGGAACATGCATTATACATATGTAAGTGTATTTTAATGAACGAATAACGCACGCCATGAATTAATTATGAGGTAATTTCGTTTTTGTTACTTTATTCATAACTTTCCTACCTACTATTATTATATGTACGTATACATATGTATTAAAAGTAAATATAGCACATAAGGGAAAACGTCCAATTCAGTCCAGTTTTAACTTCCATTAATATGACGTGTAAATTTGACAATACATTTGCCAACAATCATTTGGTGTATTAGATAGAGTAAATTCAAAGCAGACCCGAGCTCGACTTCTGAGAAGATGGATAATCTATTCGTTATTTTAAATTTATTACTTCATAATTAAGTGTCAATGATGGTTTCTACTTTGCATTCGACGCGGTTAAGTTAGTGACGAAATTGTGACGTAACCTAGAGAGCGTCATTAGTTTTAGGGTCAATTGTATACAGTTAAAATCGTTACTGACTCTGGCGCAAAACATTGCATTAAGTGCTAGAGGTCCTTGGTTCGAATCTTTCTCTGTGAAACGAACTATGTACTGCGTGTGGTTTCATGGTCATTAATCATTCTATAAAAAATAATTTTACATTTATATAAAAATTTATTATAGTTATAGAAATGGCAATTAATTATTATGACGTTGATAGAAATTTAATACTGTTTACATTTTCCAAATGTAAAAAAAACACAGAACATCATTTAAGTAAGACTATTCTCTGGTTAAAATTTGTTTTCGAAACAGATAAACTCAATACATATTACAATATTTACGGATAGTTTTGCTTTATAAAATCTATTAAAAATACAAGCAGTTTTAAGTAAGGTTACTATTTAGGTAAATATCTATGAAGGTCACAATCAAACCACTAGAATTGTACTTACATTTAATCCCACAATTTGATATCTGGTTACAATCACAAATGACCTTTTCAAGATTTTATATTTAAGTATCACGTCATTAAATTCTAAAATCCTTGACCAGTTGAAAGACAGTAAAAAAATTAACAATTCAACTTAATGTTTGTTGTTATCTCCCGCGCCTTTGTTCTTTTTTAATTTGACCATAAAATTAAAAGAAAATCTGTTAATTTGTAAGGTTTGTGTTAAAATTAATACATCTTAATGTTCAATTACATAAATATCTATATAGCAGTTTTTACGTAGAAATAAAAGCAGCAGTTACTTTAATTTTTAGATTACAAACGAGATTTTGTGGCGTGCGCAATATTTTTCATCTATTGTCTTGTCTAATCCCCCAAAACTCAAACCAAGCCTTCTCATGCTAATCCAATTATATCGCAACAACTACAGTCAAACTTCAAATTTGAACACAGAATTATCCATGATATGAATATATATTCTACACTACCACTAAACTTTGCCAAGAGTTCATTGGCCGCTCGTTATTTTTAGTCCCATCCACCCCGAGTGCAAACTGAGGACCCGCCGTCGTCCGCAAAAAATAAAGCCCTCGACTCGAAGTTGAAGAACCATAGCCGAGGACTGTGAAGTTATCTTCACAGCTGTTTGATTCGAATTCCCTCCAACTCTTACACCGGACGGCAACTATCGACTTTGGATTTTCAACGCTCTCCACATACAGTTTAGTAGCCCGCAAATGGCTGCAGGACGGCATTAAACAGCCGGGCTGCATCGGCCCGCCACCATTTACATAGAAATCGGCGTGCCCGACCGCCTCCGTTATACCTTGCACCAATCTATTCGTATGAATGACATCCACGTAATCTGCATCCAACTTGTCCAAGCGCTGTTCCGAATACGCCGAAGAGAAGCAAGGCCCAGCTGGATCCAAGCCGGTTATTCGTCCTAACTTCCTCATCTTATACCTCTGGAAGTATTTCCCAGCCCAGCCGGCTATATGCGCTCCTAAACTTATACCCAAGAGATGAAAATCTACTGCGTTTGCGCCGAAGTCTTCTAAATTTGCCAAAAGATTAGCTAGTCTTTTGCCGACCAACCGCGCGTTATGTACTGACAGGAAGTAGCTTTTGCTCATCATTTCTTCCGAGTCCACCAGCAGTACGTTGAATAATTTCTTCTCATTATACGCTTTCGCTAGGTCTAAGGAAACTGACGATTGGGCATTGTCTCTATATCCATGGATGATGACTTTCGTCTGTCTCGTAATATCGAACATTTTTGGTTTTATTAGAGCTTTGTACGATTTGTCTATGGGAAAACTTGTCATCATTTCGTCGTTTAAAAGGTAAATCTTCATCGTAGATAATATCTGGTTTTGACTGTTCAAAGAGTCGTGCTGTAGGCTCATTATCGCTCTACCTGGAAATATTTTCAGTAAGTTTGAGAAGTATCTATTTTAACTGAATAATTTTTGGTTTCATCTACGGAATAATTCCTAATAAGCTGATATTGTAAACACCTTTACTCATAACTTTTTAGTCGACACGATATGAATCATTTGACGATCACTACGCCGTAATAAAGTGTATACAAAAATCAGGTCACTGGGATTTATCCCACAAATTGGGGTTAAAAGCACCTAAAATTACTGGATTATTTGGGTAAGCGACGGAACTTTTTACTCTAGCATGTCACGCAAATAATATTTTACATAATAACCAAATTTCATTCTACTACTTTAAAACAACTTAATGAGCACATAATGTAATGTGTGCATACAAATGGAATTGAATTGGAGATATTGTATCCTGTAGTTTCAAAGTACATGAGTTGGCTTATTTTAAGTACGACCCGATGTTTCAGATGCTTTTTAGCAGCTGTGGCCACGGAAGAACCGTGCTAGGGGAGTCCACCGTTCTTAATTATGTTAATTGCGTAGAAAAAAGTATGCATTCTGTGTTCGTAAAGCAAACGAAAACAACTTCTAATTTTAATAACTATACAAAACTAAAAAAACAAGTCGCGGTAAAGTTAACAAAAGTCTTTACAAGTCGTAACGCAGGCGTAAAATCAGCATCAGCTACGTCGTCATAAATTAACTCTATTGAATCTACTTTGAAAGTATATTTTGATCGTATTTATTCGTCTATTGCGTGTTAATTATAATTTACGTGATATAATGCCGAACGCGTTAAAGTTTTTGTCTTACTATAAACATATTTACTAAATACAAACTTAATGATTCCAGGTTCTGGATGGTCTTTTTAAAATAGCAGGCAAACATATAATTAAACAAAAATATTTAGTACAAGCTTTTATTAAAAAATTGTTTTGATTGAGCTGTACATTCAAGTTCGATCAACTACTTGTCTGTTAAGATCGAATTGAAGCAGACATAGTAATGTATCTGTCCCATATTGTAAACGGAAAGCACTCGAATATAATCTGATCTTATGGCAATTTTTGGTGCACTGTTACAAAATAATCCTTAACGTTTGGCATTAATCTTATCCTAACTTAAACATATATGTATACATACAATGCACAATCTTATCATATAAAAATACATATAGGATAAGATTATCCATTACAGTATGCGTACAATTCGATACCAAAATAAAGGAGACTAAGCATACTTGTATGTACTACGTTGGTAGACAGTCTCATGCACGCTGTTATTCATAAGTTCAAGCCCCGCCGGTGTAATTGTTATATATTTAACATTTATTTTCATTTTGAAAATAGTGAAGGTTTAAACGACCTCTTTTGTTAGACTATAGGTTAATTCCAAAATATACGAAGGTCACTTACATGCACCCGACAGTCTCGAATACAAAGTTTCGGCGAAAGTGTCGAAGTGTTGCGCACTCGCTTGCAACTTGAGGTTCCGTGCGGCTATCAAGAGCACTATTACGCTTAAATGGTGCATGTCAAGCCACGGTCACTGGGCCACTGCTGAGAGAAAGGTCTGGCCACAAAGGCACTGGAGTGGGGATTATCTCGTGCAATTGTACGTTACGTCAAGTGCTGTGGATCATTTGCCGGACTGATGGACTCGTACACTATATCTTTTAGCTAGCAGTGTCAGCGGAGGACTTCGTCCGCGAAAAAAAAAATTTTTTTTCTTTAAACCTCCTGTTCAACTCTAAATATAAGCTGTTACCTACGACGCCTTCCGCGTTCCGTCATTCTTGCAAGTTAGCCTTAAAAGATATATAGCGTCGCAGACGTTTTCTTAGATCATTTAAAAAGGAATTATTATTTTATACATATTTTTTAGTATCTTGAAGAACCGTTATCGCAGCGAACGCAGCGGAAACCCACAAAGATGAATAGTTTTTCCCGAATTGTTGAATTCCCGCAAGTAGTTTCTTGAGATTAGCGCGTTCAAACAAACAAACTCTTCAGCTTTATACAATAGTATAGATGTCTCTAAGCAGCGTCATAATTTAATAATTATAATATCTTCTCTGTAGTCTATGATGATGAGGGTAAGAATAGAAGGGCGTCCACTGCGTTCGATCTTGTTCTGAGCTCTACATCTCTGACGGCCGATAGTATCGCGATTATACTGCTCAAAGGTTGATGCACTGACAAAGTCCGGTGGTAAGGCTACCGATCCTTCGGGGAATCCTCGTTATAAGGAATAAGAATAATGCAAGGAATAAAAAGGAAATAAGAAAATATGTGTACCAACGAGAAGACTCCATAAAAGTAGTAACTCTTTTCAAAGTTATTCATTGCAAACGATATTTTAATAAAATCCCCAGTAACATTTAAGCACTGTCAATAAATAAGTTAAATCATATTACGTAGAACAATCAAATGTAAATATTTAAACGATAAAAATGCTGAAACCCGCAAAAAAATATAGTGCACTCAAAGTACGTGAAGTCTATAAAATACAGTTTGGCGATAAAAGAAATGCAGGCGAGTTTCTTGCCAGTTCTTCTCGTTCGTACTATGCCCTTGATATGAAAACTGGTAGTAAATGTAAATTTCGAAACTTTAGTTTGTAACTAACGGTTTGACGTTCATAAGTATACTAGTTACCTGAGCAAGTTTTTTGACTTATGACTTTTATGCATATAAATTAAGTTTTATGAGTATGAACTCAATGTAATATTGTGTACATTTATAAAAATTAAAATAAACGTTTATTTTTAGAATAAAATAAAGGTTAAAACAATAAGAGAATTTATATTCTCGCGTGTATATATTAGGGTTAACAGAGTTTATCTCTTAAAAATTACAAGTATTACATTTTTAATAACCAAACGCGATTGATTGTACTGATATTAAAGACAAAGAAAGGAATTTGTAATCTGTTTTTTCTTTACGCTTACTTTAGGCTTGTAACAGATAATAGTCAACCTTAACACGGGCTGGTAATAATTAGACTGCGCCTCTATTTTATTACGAGTGGGTGGGACTCGCGTAAAATTATACGAAGGTATAATATTTCATAATAATTTTTGCTTTATCTTCTTAAGCCATAATTGGAAAATTTCGGTGTTTTGTGGGACTTGGTAAAGTTTGATACTAAAAAATATTTGTATACACGTGCATTTGTATCTAGTACAGTACAGATAAATCTAAAAGAAATATTTTTATAAAATAATACAAAGTAATAATATAATACGACGAACTTTTAAATAAAATTAATAATTTTCTTGTTTAAAATATGTAATAGCATATGTATAAGTATACTTAAAAACTAAAATTTTACTTTGAAATCAATGTATATATATATATACAAGGAAGGCCTTGATAGGTGGAGTGGGTTACCAGTGAGGTGTCCGTTTGAATCTCCCTTATCACGTTGTGTATGAACAAAAAGAAAAGTTACCGTTTCCAATTTATAATGTATTTTATCACAAAATATACACAATCGAGGCACCTCGTCAAGTTGAAGGAAATTTAATCTTAAAAATAAATTGCCACGTTCATTTCATCCCTTGGGATTACACAAATACTTTTTCCTCGTCAGGGTACCTGTGTTGTAGCAGACAATACAATAAGGCCGAATATAAATAATTACCAATTTACAGACTTATAAATATATGTCTAAAATGTATGATATTAGTTAGTTAATTTACTCCTATTGGTTCATCTAGTGGTTAATGCCCCTATCTGCATACAACAAGCTCCGGGTTTGAATACTGACTGGAATGATACAATCCGGATTTCAGAAAATATGTGCGTTGGCCTTATTTACGACTTTATAAACTAAGCTAACTAAGTCGCGAGAGCAGCAAAGTAACTCTTAAAGAGTTCTGTTTGTCTCTGTTTTAGAATATCCAGAGATTTTTGAAAATTTTAATATTTTGCACATGATATTACATACTTAGAAGAAAAAATTTTAACGACACGGGCAGGACTTGAACCGACATTCAAGCATTCCGTGCTACTGCTCTTTTTTATTATGCACTCACACACACATCGCGGTCCCACACACGGCGTGGCGCAGACGACGTTTGAAGCACGTGAGGTCGAGAGTTCACGTGCAATAATCGAAGCAGTTGCGCAACTTTGACAGATCCCAGTGACTTGACAGATTGTTAACTTTGGCAGTTAAACCGCAGAATATACTAAGCCTAACTCCAACACATATGTACGCTAACTTCATTTCGAACACATGGCACCAAACGCACTGGACATTTTGTATGTATAATAAAACATATTATTATAAGAATACAGGCAGTGCATTACATCTGAACTAACTAACTGTCGTTAGTTAAGAATAAAATACCGTACTATAATTTTCGCTCTCCTCTGGTACACTCTTTCCAATATCGTGGTTCATGGCACAATGGCGAGAACAATTCACGAACCATTTGCCCGATATAGCACTCGGTAGATCGTGTTGTGGGAGATGCGTAAACAACACAATAACATAAATAACAACTCGCGGCTTTCAGTTTTAAATCGGCTGTGTGCTAAATGCACGTTACATTTTCACGTTAAATTTGACGGTAGTTTTCATTTCGTGGTAGGTGACATTTTGTGATACTAGGGCATTGATGCTTTTTTAAATATTCCACTAATAATGCTTCAATTGCTCAACGACTTACAATCAAGTTCTAAAGTGGGTTAATATACTATGCATGTTAAATAAAACTTGTCGCGTTATAAACGATAAAAATAGTCTACATTAAATAATTCATATTGTTATAGAGTAAGTTACATTTTGCTTCTAAGTCATTCTAGTTATGAATACATCTTGATCCACATTTACAACCCTACCTTACTATTAGTTGAGAGGCCCGAAATAGTACTGTTTCAGCCTCCATTAATTGTAATGATTACATGATATAAATTAATATGTTTTCGTGAGAGTATGCTTAACAGTAGAATACTGTTAAGCATACTTGTAAATTTGAAGAGAAATTTTGTGTTCAAACAAAACCCTGGTAATAGGAAATGTTTGAACTAAATAGCAAAATTTAGACGATTCAAATCTAATATTATACCACAAAGTTTAAAGCTTGAAGTGGCGAAAGCGATTGTTGAGTGTGCTCACATTCATATTATAACGATCGCTAGAATGGCGTCGAAGTGTTATATTAATAAAGCTGAAAGCTAAAGAATTTATTTGTTTGTTTGAAAGCGGGAATCTCAGAAATTACTGAATGAATTCAAATTTCTTTTGCGTTTGTTGGACGAATTATCGAGTAAGACTTTAGGCTATAAAACACCAGGCTGCGACCAATAGGAGCTAATAAACAGAAGAAAAAGTGGCAAAACAGAAAAATAAATCATCTTAGAGGGCTCTCGTTGCGTGCGCTGCGAAAATGGTCCAAGAATTCAAAATATGTATAAAGAAATGATTCATCAATAAATAATCTAAAAAATTGTCCACAACGGTATATCTCTTCTATCTATCATCTTTTATTGGATCTATCTTATCTTTTAGTTTTAAGTCGCAAGAAGCACGAAACGCGAACGACTTCATGGGTAACAGTTATAATTTATACAGCTGAGGAGATTGTTTACAAAAATAAATAATAGGATACCTAAAATAACTATTTCATGCAGATGAGTCGCAGGGACAGCTAGCCAGTTTTGTAGCACTATAGAGCCTAGGTTTAGACTTATTGGAAAATATCAGATCACCAACATACCATAAATATAAATCGATTAGCAAAAAATCTACAGAAATATGTCTGCATTATTACAACCTTAAAACATTTATGACAATAGTACACATTTTATAGTTGTAGAGGGAAGTTTAATCAAGTCTATTTGAAGTGGGACCAATATTGTTCTGCTCAAATACTAGGTAACAAACGTCAAACATGCACAGCTATTTCTACACTGAGATTGATAATGTGTCGTGGTACTTGCATTTCAAAGAACTATTATATTTCAATAAAAAACAAATCTATGTTTTAAATTGAAATCCATTTACGGCTTGGATAGGGCTTAAACCAGGGTCTACAGCGTTACGTGTTGTTGTATTTACCAATTAATAAATACCGCCATCATTTGCAATAACATGTGAAAAATGTTAAAGCTATTTTGCTGATATTTATCAAGCTGCGTTGTCTATCCTCTATCCCCCAGGACCACGGCTGCTACAAAGTGTCCGGAACTCCTTTTTGATGTGTACAAGTCGCGTAAACTAAATGCAATATTTAGCCAAACTAGAAACTAAACTGAAAGTGAGTTTAAAGTAAATAAGGTTTCCTATCATAAAGTGGTAGAGGTCCTGGCCTGAAATGCTGTGAAGTCTGGTCAACAAGTAAATCACTAAAATAGTTCAGTGAAACGTACAGCCTTCCTTAGAAATGCCTTCGCTATTCCCCAAACAGGAATACGACTCTCTGCTTTAATTAGTGGTTTCTGTATACTCAAATTGTTCAATAAATGTTAGAAGTTCCGTTCATTCGTTTTGGCTTCACGTTCACTCCTCTTGATATCCGATTG